CGCTCCTTTTGTCACCTCCTATGGGCTCCTGACTCTTTCTACTGCCTGTCTACTGCTACTCCTTGTCTGCTTTATACTGCTGTCTGTCAACAACACCCTGATCTTAGGGTAGGTGAAATCGAACACCTAGCCTTCTCGGATAAGGGTGAAAAAATCTCGGAGGCCCCGTGTGCAAGTTCCGCACGTTAAGGATCCTTTGGTGGTCCTAAAATCGATGCGATAAGAGTACACTTTGGTCGCAACTCAAGCAAAATTCAATATTTATTCCAACCAAACTGAAAATGCTTTGCGTGTCTCGCGAGCTCATATGACCTTATGTACTTGCGAGCGCCGTAAAAACCCTTCCAAAACAAAAAAGCACAATTGGGTTCTCCATTTCTCCGTAAGGCCAAGGCAGTGAACGACCGTGACGTCATGGCCAAAAGGCTGCTTTTAATTTAGTTGGCAAGCAGTTAAAATGTTCTTAGCCCAGAAAGCAAAGTTTTTACAGGAGAACGAAAAAGCTGCTTCAATCTTTTAACAATTGTTCCAACATTATGTATTTTTTCTCGTTTTTTTCCAACGTTTAGAATTTGAATTTCAAGAAAATATTTCTTGAGCACATGCAACCGATACCACAGCTTAAGACACTGCAATATATTTTTTAAACTTCAAAATTTGGGGCTTAGTAAAATAATATTTTAACATCTGCTGATGGCCGACGATTTTCTTTTTCGAGAATGGGAAGGAGGGGTCGGTTGGGGGTAGGGGGTGGCACTTTTACCCTTTGACTAAATTTAGCTTTTGTAAGGGGTTTTTTCCGCCATTCTAGATCTACTGTTATACGTGAAAGAGAGCTCATTGGGGAATCGTAATTCTTTACTACATGGCTTTGCATCCACTTTTTCTGATGCACTCGAAACAAAGGGAAGAGTGAAGATGCGAAATATAGCATTATCAATGCTAACACTGGGACATCCCCCCCCCCCTTTACCCCCATCCCCTCTTCCCTCTCTCTCTCTCTCTCTCTCTCTCTCTCTATATATATATATATACATACATACATACATACATACATACATATATATATCTATCTATCTATCTATCTATCTATCTATCTATCTATCTATCTATCTATCTATCTATCTATCTATCTATCTATCTATCTATCTATCTATCTATCTATCTATGATTAATAATTGGCAAGTGCCCTGAAAACTAGAAGCTATTTTGGATTATTTTATATTATACTTTGATCACTATATAATACGGATTGCAGTCTTCTGACGAATGATAACTTGGAGGTAACAAGACTAGGTCCAATTTCGAAAACAGAAAATCACTTTTGAAAAGGGGCCACAACATGAAAACTGAAACTACAGTGCTGGCACACGAAACGCATGGATGATTACTTGCTGGAAAACTTCTAAACAATGATAGAGCCGGGGGTTTTTCGGTTTGTTTTGGTTTTTGTGTGTGTTTTACGAAGGTTGCTTCTGACGAAAAAAAAGGACAGAATCGCTCTATAACTGCTAGGAATTTTTTTCTCAGTGCGTCATCATCTACGTGTTTCATTTTCCGTGGAATTACCCCCAAAGTACTCCATCCAGGACGTTAATTATATGTTTTACACGAGATATATATTCTTAAACCTGCATCGGGTTGCAAGAAATCTATATGACAGAAATAGCTTGGCCAGCAAGTCATGGTTGCCGTGTTTACCTTGCTAAAACACTGGGACATTAACATACAGAAGAAGAATATATGTGAGGTAACAAATTATTAATTAATTATTTTTAAAAACTTGAAATAAGGATATAGAGATAGAGAGAGAGAGACAGACAGACAGAGACAGAAACAGAGACAGCGAGACAGGTACAGGTACGTTGGCTTTTCTTTCTCTCTCACCCTCCATTTCTCCCCACCCCTCTCACCCTCTGGCTTTCACGTTCTTACATTCTCTTCCTCGTCCTCCCTCTTTCTCGTTCTCTCTCTATCTCATTTCTCTCTTTCTCTCTCTCTCTCTCTCTCTCTCTCTCTCTCTCTCTCTCTCTCTCTCTCTCCCTCTCTAAATCACTCTCCGCTCTCGTGTCTAAAGCAAAATTTATAGCAGATAGCAGAAGACAAATGGAAATACGACATGACCAATGAAGATGTTTCTTTTTACGCTGCTGTTTTTCCTCGTTAGGCTATTTCGGCTATCTGAGGAAGATTTTGTGTCCTGGGAATTTTCCGACTAGTTTATCAAAGCCGAACTCTTTCCATAAAAAAACTACAGTTTGCATTTGCATATTATAGGTCGATATGTGGAGTGTGTGTATGTATTTATGTACGTGATTTTTTATTTGTGTGTGTGTCTGTGTTTGAGTGTGTTTGTGTTTGTATATGTCTGTGTATTTGAGCGCATGCGAGCGAGCGAGCGAGCGAGAGAGAGAGAGAGAGAGAGAGAGAGAGAGAGAGAGAGAGAGAGAGAGAGAGAGAGAGAGTTAAAAAGTGTGTGTAAAAGATATTTTTAGACATGGATTATTATAAGGCGGGGGGTGGGGCACAGAACGAGGGAATGTAAAAGTGAGACGATGAAAGCGTGAGAGTTTCAATGAGACAGACAAACAGACAGACAGAGAGATGAATAAACGAGGTAGAGTGAAGAGGATTGGGAGAGAGAGAGAAAGAAAGAGAGAGAGAGACAGAGAGAGAGAAAGACAGACAGACAGACAGACAGACAGACAGACAGACAAATAAAGAGGGAGCATGAGGAAGATTGGAAGAGAGAGAGAAAGAGAGAGAGCAAGAGAGAGAGAAAGAGAGAGACAGAGAGACAGAAAGACGGAGAGAAGGGAGGTGAGAGTAACTGAGTGAAAGCTTACCTGTCTGAGCAAAGGGCGTGGGGAGAAGATAACATAAATTCCAAGGAATGGAGGCCAAAGCAGTTTTCTTAGAGAGACTCCAGGGCCCCTGGGTAGACTGGTTTCAGCCCGGGGTTATCAACCACTAGACTTCAACCACCTGCAATCAAACAATAGACAATACATAAGATATTATAAACTATACGTATCATACTATGAGGGTTTTTAATGTGTGTTTGAGTTTGTGTGTGCATATATTATGTGTGTGTGTGTGTATGTGTGTGCGTGTGTGTGTGTGTGTGTGAATGTGATTGTATGTGTGTCTGTGTGTGTGTGGGGG